TGATTCTAGGTTGCGAGGTACTCGTGGGTTATCTGTGCTTCCTACATGGTTTGATAACATTCAGTTGAAAGGTAAAGGCTATGAATCTAAAGATCTCAATACAGTCATAAACCGTCTAGAACAGTGGACTCATAGATTGTTTCCTAGGTATACATTTGATGACTCTATTGATAAGTTAGAAAAATTAGGGAAAAAGAATGAAATTAAAGTAATGTTGAAACTACATCTTCATGCTGGAACTTGCCATCGTGTCAATAACGAAAAACCCACATGCCGTCGATCAACGGAAACTACCTACCGTACAACCAGGTCGTCCTTATATCATTAGCTATTTGTATAATAATCGTCTTCTTGTATTTTTTTTTTTATACTGTGTTACGTATTATTATTATTATATTTATTTATCGTCTATTATTCACGGGGCGCCCTATTCAAGGTCCATTATAAATAATATTATTTGGTTTATTTGGGCGTATTATTTAATATAGATTTTGGTCGGTGTCATATACACGTGGCATTTATTTTCACTTKCTATATCATTTATTTATTGTATATTTGGGTAACCCATTCTGCTCCTGTCTACAACATTTAACACGCGAGTCGTTGTCGACAACCKCAGATCGTTGCAGGATTAGTAACGGCGCAAACACCAATTTCAAAAACTTAGGACAACTTAAAAGGACTACGTGTCACGTGAATTTGACACACTCATCACTGATGAGTCATCAGTATATGTCAATGGGCCTGTAAGTAACTCTCAAATATCCATTTTCAAAGACTAGAAAATTACCAATAGATAAATATCAATGATTTTGAATCGATACGCTTAAGTGAGGGGGCCAAACCTAAAAATTTGWACTAGATMTAGCTAGGTAGGTATATACAATTATTATAAAAGAGGTGGAGCATTGAATATTCACCATTATGAAAAAACTCTGCAAAAATAACGCCATGTTCATATTTAGCTGTTAATGTTATTAACTAAATCTTTTTGCTATAATTATCACAAATCAGGATTTACTTTTAGGAGGATGTCAGCGAATGTTTAACCCGCTAATTATACATAATTTTTATGTTATACTATTTTTTTCACTTATATATTTTAGCTCCTAAACAGGGCCGGGAAGGCACGTGCAAGTGATATGTCCTTACCGGGTATCAATTTTAACTGAATAATTATTAGGGGTGACATTTTAACATTTGACATTAAGGAGATTTTTAAATCGCATCCTAGTACAAAATACCTGGCCTTGTGCCCTATACATAGGTAGAGGTAGATATATATGATTAAGTATAAAAATATATGATGGTATTTAGTGTATTTAGTGTAGGTATATACTGGTACTATCCAATAGGTATGAAAAGAGTATTTTTTATATATAACCATAATAGGCAGTAGGCAATAGGTACACAATATTACCCACACAACCACACATTACATAGGTACATTGATTAGATTTTGTTCATACTTACTATTTAAGTGTTATAGTAATGAATACAATTTAGTTGAGAGCACGTTGAATTCAATTTTAGTAATTTAATTCAATTGGTTCCAACAATTTGGATTAAACTTCAAAGTTTGAATCACGGATCATTAAAGAATGAGTAAAGCGAAGGAGTTGATTCAGTGTTCAATAGCAGTTYCCTGTTCGGTACTTGTTGTTAATAATTATTTTTAGAACAAATGTCGAACTAAAAGGTCGGTTTAACAAAAAGTCTACCTATCACATAATTACTGTATATACCTATTAATTTATACAATTTGAAAATAATACGAATAAATATATGTGCAGTATGAAAATATATTTATAATTTATGTAGTATAGACGTATTTTAATTACCAACAATTCTGTTTATTGTTAAACTTTAAGTACCTATGTGGCTTTGTGGAAGAAAAATGTACCATGTATTATTATATTTATATAATTAATTGCAAACTGGACGTTTTCAACCTTGGTACCTATTTGATATTGATTTAAAAAATAACATTAAAAATAAATAACCGGTTTTTATTATTTATAGCAAAATTGTTAAGAACTAATAAGTAGGTATCATATATTTATAAACCTTACTAAAAAAAACCACAGYACTTCAAGCAATAAATTTGTTTAATTTATTTGGCTATAATTTATTTTAAAACGTTTACAAATTTATATTATATATAATATATCTTAGTTATTTAATTTTTTTATTCTGTTTCACAACACATTTTGTTCAGACATTTTTTTTTTACTTGTAAAAATGCGAATAATGTAGCCTATCTATTTAAATTATACATGTAAAAAAAAATTGTTTCAAGTTTCAATTTAATAAATGTCGCTAAATATGAATTTTATTGCGCAGATACTATACATCCATTATAATACCAGACTTTTTATTTTAACAATTATATAATAATAATAATAATAATAATAATAATAATAATAATAATTAATAACAAATAAACGACTAGTTCGAAATTAAAAAAAAAAACAAACAAACATCATAGTTTTATAATTCGTTATTTTCAGTTTTGTTGCATTATTTGACTTACAAACAAATTAATTGTAAAATAAATTAACGAAAAATAAGCCAAAACATTATCCAACATCTTAAAAGATCTTAGATACTTAAATAAGAACAATACTGTTTCTTAAAATGATCGATTCATTTCAAACATTGCGCAATGGTATATAACGAACTGTTTTTATTCTTAACATTTGTTATTTTTTATACACTAGCCAACACAAACAGAAATTACATAAACATTTTACAATTGGATGAGATTGTCTGAATTTCTTAATTTTTTTTTTTTTTGTAATTAAATTATTATTGTGTACACGGATGATTGTAACAGCTGTGTTGTATATCTTCCATGACTTAACTATATTTATTATTTTTATACAATACTTAAAAAAATTCCCTTTTCAAGGGTTGTAACATTATTATAATATTAAAACGCAGTAACAAAATTGTACGTACACCAAAATTTTGCAACACACACTACACAAAAAACAAAAACAAAAACAAATTAATGTTTTTTTTTTTTTTAATTAAACAATAAAATAAACTAAATTCTAGTATACAACTAACGTGAGCCGTATGCCGTTAGTGCACACTATAATAATAATAATAATAATAATAATAATCATAATAATAATAACAATAAATGATTAGATATTAGTATTTAATATAAATTTGATTATAACATAGGTTATGCTAGAAAGTTGCAAACGGTTTCTAACGATTAATTTGTATATAATATGATCACTTTGAAACCAGCGTTGGATTTAACCTGTGGACAGTAATATTAGCCCGGTTAGCTCCACTACCCAGACAATCGTTGGGTACATTCGAATACGTATAACATAATAGTAGACCGCTCAGTTATTCTTATATAGGTAATGTTCATAATTTGAGTGTTCTAGACAAAACCGGGCACGGAATGACTTCTACTAAACTGAGAAATAAAAAAAAAAAATAAAAAAATATAACAATAATAGTTATGTACACCAAACGTTGGTTCCAAATTTGACGAATATGTCCCGGACGTCATCGTCTATAATACAGCATAAGCGAAAAATATTTGAGCGAAGATTTTAATATATTTAGATGAGGAAGTATTTATGAAAAACATTAAAMTATAATTATAAACAAACATTGCGGTAATAATAATATGTTTCGGCTTTTCTTTTTAATTATTGTCGTTAGAAAAACCTATAAAATAATAACTTTGGGTCAGTTATTTTGTTTACATATTATACGCGACGAGTTTGAGCAAAAAAAATTCAGTTTATCTTCTGTCACGTCAACGTTATTGGCACATTGGAGTTACACAGGGTGAGTGGTTCACAGCATACCGATGCGTTATTGGAAGGGACGCAGCGGAAATACGAGAAATTCTAAAGGACAAAATAAATTTGGGTCAAATCTGTGATAAATCATCCCCCTGTGTGTTGTGCTTGGAAAATGAACGATTTGAGCACATTCAAAACCCCTTAGGATATTTTTGCAATACAAACAGTATACGTACGGACGTTCGAGACATTTTCGCGAGTTGTTCATTCCAACATTAACACTAATCTAAAAATATTAGTAATATTATTTGTTTTTTTTCTTAAACATCATTAATTATTTTACACAATAGTAATAAATAACATTTCTTTTTTTTTTGGCACTTAAACTAACTAAGTTGTATTTTTATATTAATAATAACAACTCGATGGTTTTATATAGGGTACTGTTTTTTTTTTGTTCATTAAATTTAAAATAATACAATTATTATTTTAATTATTATTATTATTTTAAATAACTCCTCTGAAGCAAATTAGTTCTAACTTGAGCATTTTCATCTATAAATCTTTTTATTTCTTAAATGTTTATTTTCCGCCGTAGATTTCGATGATTTTGTCCTGGTCGACAGTCTCGAATATATGAGGGGCATCCATTAGTATGCCAAGGGTGCCGGCGGTGGTGACAAAGAAGAACAGATACAATTGCAACCGATCAATAACCATCGCTACATACTTCCAGTCTTCTCTTATCTGCAATCAAAAAATTGGAGGTAGTGGTATGGAGAGACCCCACTCCCACCACCAGATGATTGAGTAATTTACATTTATCACCGATATAATGGTCACTCAACTATTCGAGTTTTGTACTTAATAATTAATATCCATTTATGTGTTAATCAACGAGTAACTGTTTCATAAATTTGTTGATTTTATACATGAATGAATATCTATTGGGAAATTAGTGTAACGTTTTTAATTATAATAATATTGAATAGGTATATTGATATTATCACTAATCTTATTTTTTTCCACGTTCCATGTTGTTAGTAAGTAGGTAGATATTGATTATAGTGTGACTAGTAATTAGTAGAAGACTAGTAGTAAACTAGTAGTATACTAAAAATATCTATTTACCAATATTTTTACTTCTAGTATATATGTTTTTAATGGAAATAGTTTTAAATTTTTCATTTTTAATCTAAAATAGGTAAGTTTATTCATTCTATGACTGTTTGACCATTCACCATACTAGGTTTTCGAATAATTAGTAGTACCTATTATAGAATACCTAGTAAAATTATTCATAAATCATAATTTATTAAGTAATTAAACAAATAATTAATGTTWAATTACTTTATAAAATGGAATATCTACCTTTAAAGATTCGCACTCTAAATTACTGAACACGTGATARATACTACGTTTTTCCATATAATAATTGTCTTGGTTCAGTCAAATAGATGTCATAATATCACACACTACATTAACGATTAATTTCAATTTTATGTTATTATTTATTATACATGAATATTAATTTATAAAGTTAGTCACATGAACACTATATCCTCAATTATCTAAATGGTTTTATTAAGCAATATAAATTTTCAAACATGACCTACATATTCGTTATTATATTTTTAAGTGAATCAGAGTTATTGGATTTAAATTTCAATGAATTAATTTTAATATGCTAACAACACCATGCTTTTTTTTTTTAAGTTTTGAACTATCGTCTATCATAATATTGCTATAGCGTATTTATATTGATGTTAATATGCTTTTAAATATATTACAAAATTAAATTATACTTAAGACAAAATAAAAAAAAAATAAATATTTAAGTAATTTGTCGGTAATATATTAAATATATTTAACTATTTATTAACAATAGTTTTGTGTCAGTGTTCGATGAAAGTGTATGAGATTCAATAACTAAAATAATTCTTTATTAAGAAAGTTTAAAAGGGCTGGGGAAAAAAATAAGTGAACTGTCAGAATAAAATGTTCTTTGCAATCATAAATCAATAATATATACAATGTGTAGGTACAATTATGCACAATTAGCATATTTGATAAGGGTTACAATAATACATGAGTACATGCGTAAGAAGTCACCCACTAATGGCATTTGACTGGAAGTTGTATGAAACTAGCTTATTTAAAAATTTAAAAAAGTCCTATATCAATGCACTGAGTTGAGTGAAGCGAGAATAAAAAATAAGAATTTCTGTTCAGATAGGCTCATAAAAATATCGAGTAATTGCTCATTATTGATATTATACTTACAATTAAGATAAATAAAGTGKCATAGGGTATTTCAATTTTGAGCTTAATGAAATAATTGTACATACCTAATTGAGAATATTTATATAAAAAAAGACGTGAAATAATATAAATTAAAAATAGCTACATCGCACATCATCCTATCATTTTAAAGTATTAGGTATACTATAAAAAACAAAAATTACGTCAGCTTTTGTACTGGTAATATTTGTGAACGTGAACTTATATGTTATCAAAATACKAATCACTATAAACAATAAGCCTACAAACGAAATATCGAATCCTGCAGACATGTATTATTATGTACTCTTAACAATGGTTTTCAGACATTATATTTCGAGTGGAATAAAAATGGAGTGTGTATGATTGCAATATTTCCAAACATTCACTGGTTGTTATAAATCGAGGAAKAGTATGATTTTTTTATCACAAGTTATTTTCCCAGTTTGAAAATGTATGTTTTTAAAATTTTTTGTACTTAATTTTAAAATCATAACAAAAAAATATTTTTGAAAAAATTTAAGTTTCTCCTTTTAGATAGCGTAACGACGAATGTATTGATTTTACAATGTTGTGTTTTTTACACAATATAAGTTGTAATAATATTTCGATTTTAAACTTCAGTAACTTTATCGGTTGAAAAGTGAATCTAGTTGGTGCATTAGGGAGGTTCAAATRTTTTTGAGAAAATTGGTTTTAGATATTGTTTATACAGGAATTTTCTATAGATGATAATATTTTCAAAATATTTTAAATATTTAAATAATTTTCAATTTTTTTCGTTCTTTTTTCCATAAATGTCAATACAATTTTATCCGTTGGATAAAAAAGCTTTAAAATGTAATACAAGACTCATTATATATTGTTAAATTKTTAGTTAAAAGTATTAAAAATACATAGTCACATTTTTTTTAATAAGCATTTAAAGTTTGAATTCTGAAAAAATATGTAAAAATCACAAAAATGTTCAAAATATTTTGAGTTAGAAATTTATTTTTTTAAATCTAAGATTTGAAAATTCTATACGAATTTCTTCGTAAGTTTGTCTACTTTTATTAAATAAAAAATGTCTACCGGAAAGTCAAATTAAATTTTTTATAACATTTGAATTTCAAATGTTTACAACGTTGGATATTCACTCAATTTCACTTGTACTGATATTTTTATTTTCTTGTTATTCAAAAACGAACAACTGTAGAAACATAAAATTTATACCACATGTTTATTTTATTTATTCCCATATTTGATAAAATTTTCAAAATATTTCAATTATAATCAAGTTATTTATAGAAATTGTTCGTATAAAATGATATTATATCATTAAATTYGAAATTAATATCATTCATCCATTACAGTATCTCACTTATAACCTACTATGCAGCAGAATGACATCCACTTCGCCGCTTTTTTCCTAATGTATACAAATTTTAATATCAAATCAGTTGGTAGTTATTTCAGACGATTAAGCGTATGAGATAAGTGTGTTAAATGTAAACTTATTGTAATTACATAAAAATACAAGTTCTGAAGAGGTAGTAAGTATATCAGTGTACGCATATGATGATAATTTAAATTTACACAGTCAAACAAGGTCGTATAAGAGTGCGCCTGTTAGTTAAGTATATGATATTGCATTATTTGTACGATGGTATTAGACCGTTGTTGGTTGTTCCGAGATAAAATAGACGGTCAATCAATCACCTGTATGTATTGATCCTCGTTCCTCAAGTGTTCGGCGATGAACTCCACTGCTTCGGTGGCTTTGGATGCCTCCGGTGATAAGATTAGCGAGTCGGAGCTTTCACTCTCCCTCCGCTCCGCGCTTGCCTTTCGGTTGATCTTGCAGTTGGGATGATGCAGGTCGGCCAGCTCCATTGCCTCCATCTTGTGTTTGGACGGCGTCGCGGAACTTGGGGGCGCAGGTGCGGGTAGGTCCGACGGCGACGTGTGGTGCGGATGCGGCGGACCACTCATGCCCGGCATTTCCATCATCCACCTTAGTCGCGTTTTCTTCGGCCGTTTCATRAACATGCATGCCGGAAGATAGTATAGGAACACAGTCCTGATCCAAGGTGGCATACGGTGGGTACGAGGTCCTGAGAACAGATTTGATACGCAATTGCATACAGGGTAAAAGAACCAACTGTGCTTCTCTATAATTTATTTGTGTAAATTATGAGTTGCGTATTTATTAGAGACGAAATGATTAGTTAGACAAGTATATAAATTGAAATAATATATTGTATATATGTACTTAATTATAATGCTCTCGGTGGCGTCATTTTTGGGACTCAAGCATGTYCGTATTCACCCAATTCCATTATTTTTAATTAACCTATTATTGATTATACTCGTGATTTTATGATCATATTATTGGTTTCGTTTATACTGATTATAGACTTATATTTTAATGAAAATGTTGTGAAATGACACCACTTTTGAAGCTATACAGTTATGGATATGTAATACGGTGATATTGATTTCAACCGGTATCATCTTCGGAATATATTCGCACAACGTATTACATTTCCAAGCTGTAACTTAATTTTAGATTTGTCTTTGTCAAACACACAATAATTGATTAAAATAACTTAAAGACTAATATAATCGTTACGTTGATAACTATATTGTATTTATATATATATATATATATAATATATATTATATACTAACTAATTTATCATATAATTACAGCGCACACATTAGATATCATAATATTGATACAATAAATAAATACTTAATGATTAACATGCAACTACGTATTTAAACTCTTCAAAATAGATTATAACTTTATCGTGCCGCCGCCTCAACACATCATAGATGTAATCCGGGGAGGGGGCAATGGCGAAATGGTGTAATTTTACCTTATAGATTTTCAGATTTACCAATGATTGCCTCTTTTCCCTAAGAATTTACTCYAGATTACGCCTAAGTACAATATAATATAATTTTATGCAATTCAGTCAATATACTAAATAGTAAAAAGTTTATATAAACGTATAAATACAACCAATGGCATAATATTTCATGTGCGAGATAAAATTAAGTTAACATATTTTATTTTTATATTTATTTTTTTGGAATTATTGATTATTGATCATTTTCTATTTATAATAAATTAATCTTAATTTATTCAAATATTTTTTACAAAAATATTGTTACAAATTTTATCAAAATCTTATTTTATTCTTAAAACTTCTTATGGAACTGAATATAGAGCTATGTTTTCCAGCGTTTTAAAGAAACAATAATTGTTAATTACTAGAAACTATTAATTACCAAAAAAGATTACGATTTGCAAATAATAATTATTTCGTAATTTTGGAATCTACGGATAGATTTTTAAATATAAAACTGGCAGTTTAAACTTACGTGAATACGTGATGATAATTAATTATTTATTTATTTTAATTTTATAGAAACATGTTTGTAATCAATTATAAATTTCCAAATAAGAAATAACTAATAACTAATATTGGCAAACATAAAAAATAATTTTTAGTTACACTATTTTATTTGGAAATTTAAAATAATGAAATCTAACTTATTGTCATTGAATTTTTGTTTCRAATACATTTTTGTTATTCTTTATACGAATAGAAGTTATCATGCAAAAAATAAAATAAAAYGATAACAAATATTTGTTAAATAATCAAAAGTAATCGATTGTTTTATATTTAATTTATCGTATTTAGAATATTATAAAAGTATTTCATTTATAAATTAGTTTTTGTATTTAAGATTTTGRTACTGAAGATTATTWTTTTATTTCTGTTTTAAATTAAGCATTCAATGCATAATATACATATACATTGCTTTTGCTACTTTATTCCTTGTTTCTATGGAAACTAAAAGTCAATGTTTTTTGTTTTCTATGTATAAAATYCATTTTCTTACGCATGCTATATTTTGTATTTATTTTTGACATTCAATGATAGGCTTAAAAAATAATAATGGGATTAGTATTTACGATTATTATTTTTATATGTTAATGAAATATGAATTACTGAATTTTAATAATATGTATTGTATACTCTTGAGAAATTATTTCTCGTACAATTATACCGGAGTACTATAATAYATGTAAGCCAGTGTGAAGAACGAAAGAGTGTAATAAGTTGATCCTAGTACATAAGAATAAGGTTATTAATATTTTATCGATATGAATTTAAAAGAGTTGGAACTTGGTGCATGGTAATTCAAAAAAAAAAATATTCCAAAAATAACAAGAAATCTGGTGAATTTATTATAGTTTTGTTAAATAGACAAAGTAGGAATTGTAAAAATACTATTTTAAATAATGTTGAGAAGTTAAAATTATATTTATTTGACACAGATGTAAAAAATGTATTTATTAACGAACAGTGTTATGGTTAGACATTTTGTGTAGGTAGTAGGCACACTGTTATTTGGTCACTGGTCGTTTTYCTCTTATGTAACTTTTAATTATTATACTTTGTAATAACTTAAAAAGTATAATAAATACTTCCTCTATAAAAACTTAAAATGTTAAGCAATTTATGTAAGCAGTATGGTATGTTATTATACTTATTTTTAAAAAAAATTATTTTTTAAAATTATTGATTATATCATTACTAGCTGATCCCCGTGCACTTCGTTGTCCGACGGCCGTTAAAAATACTAATTCCATAAGATTCGAAATTTGTGTTTAATTCGTCGTTTAATACCCAGATAGTTATGTTCAAAATTTCCCGTGACAAATTCCGTGGATTTACAAATCAAATTAAATATAATTACATTATAAAACACACGTTTATTAACAAGCAACAATTTAATCAACGTTATAATAGTTTGGAATGTATAAAAGGATTAGTTAATTTTTTTTATCATTTAGAAGACAGAACTTAAAATTGGAAACACATTATTGTTCTTTTCTTTTGTTTACAGAAATTCAATACACGGTATAATATGATTTGATTTTAATTGTGCTGTAGAGAATTACGGTTATCTATCAAAAAATTCGTTTATCTTTTAGACCCCAGGTTTCAGAACTTTTGTATTGAAAACAGAGATTGAATACGGGTTTCAGCAACCATGTCTATTATTAATTACTATAAAAGTGTATTATGTAAGACTAACAATACTGTAATTTTATCTGTAACTTAAAATAAAGGTTTATTAAAGCACAATCATATTTTATAACATTCAGTTGAACTCAAGTATAAATAATGCGAGCAACAAAAATGTAAAACTATATTCAGATTTCAAATAAATTCATTATTTTTGTAGACCAGGATTTGAATTTGATTTTTATTTAGAAATTTAAAAATCAATATGTAATTTATGATAGTGATCATTATAAGACGATAGTTAATTACAATATTCTATGTATATTTATTGTTTACAATTAATAGGTAGGTACCTACTTTTAAAGTATTTAGGTGTATGCTCTTAAAAAGCTATAGGTACAACTACTTTAGTAGGGTAAATAAATTAAAAGTTATATCACATCATAAAGAAAATTTTGCTACAAAGACATATTAAACTAATTACCTATTATAAACCAGTAAATCGTCATTTTAATTTATTGAATCATACGTATACAACGCGAGATGCAAGTTATGTTTATTTTTCACAAAACTGTATCGGTATTGTACCTATTTGAAATATTCGCAATAAGCRMAAAAATAACAACAACCATTGTAAATGTCTGTTATAAATCTTTAAACGCTGTCAAATAAAACACAATATTTATTTTAAAAAAAAATAAAAAAAATACCAATATATTAAATATAAGGTATAGCACCACGTTTTGTATTTCTCTCGTTATTATTRCCAGCTATTACTTTTCACAAAAACGGCCCATTATATCTGTGCGTATAAGTACTTATATATATATATCATATTGTATACATATGTATAATATCGAGTGTTTGATGTGTATTACACGAACCGTTGACCAATTATTGATTGCTGCTTCGCGGTATGAATTTCATTTCGGCAGAGTACGCGTGTGGTGTGGATRATGATGGTCCGGGTGGAATGGTGAAGRAAAAAACCATAATTCACGATTTAAAACTGATGGGCGATCGGTGAGTGACGGGGGCTGACCTGCCGGAGAACGTACGTCGTTCTCCTTTATCATCGTTATTATTATTATTGCAGCCGTTCATATTGTATACATGGGAAATCGAGAAAGCTTTATAATATATTATTATACGTCGACGAAACATGACAATCTCGTGAAATCTGTGAAATCTTCATAAAAACGACCAAGGGAAGAACTGATGGGAAAAACAAACGTGGCTGGTGTGTGGAACGGCGCTATTCTTCGGTAGGAGTGTCAGTGTGTGGCATCGTCGCGTGAAATAGAAGGCCACTGTTACGGTAAGGGCGTTGGTTAGCGCATCTACCCACAGCCACTCTCTCTCTCTCTCACACACACACACACACACACATAGATAAATATAATATACATACATACATACATATAAACACATACACCCTCTCTCTCTCACTCGAGCTTGCACGTTTCGGTGGTGGAAAAGCGGCGGCGGTGGTGGCATTCCCAAATGCCCGGATTTATATATATATACTTTTGTGGCAAAGCCCTTTGATCGCCGGTCCTGAGTCCTCGGTTAAGGCTCACAAAGCGTAATATGGTCTTTTTTATTATTATTATATATATATATATATATATATAATGATACTGGCAAATTATAACGTTTTGTGTGTCATACGGTCGGTTATATTATGGCTTTATGGCTATTGTTTTTGGAAAAGGGTATAGTTTTGGCACTGTTCAGATAATATTCTTGTACATGGCGTACTGTTTTAAAATGATACACACACACATACATGTGTGCAGTTTCCATTCATATTGGTTTAATGGGTTTTCGTCTCTACGCTGCACCACCGTGTCTTCGTCATCGCGTCTGCTGAGGCGGACGGCGGCGCGGTGGGTGGCAGCGGCTATAGCGTAAAAAAGGCGTTAGTGCGAATTAGTCGTGTACTCGCGACGTGGTCTGTGGCGGCGGCCCGGGTTACAATAATTGTTACTATATATTCAACATAATAGGTATTATATATTATTATCTATAGGCGGCGTTTGTAAGAACACTACAAAAGCATTAACAAATAACAATATAGACATATAATATTTTAGCTATATGATGGCGTCTACTGTTTAAAGTGGTATGGTATCACGTAATATTAATATGTACCAAGTCTACTGTATAGGTACGTATTATTTAAAATTAAGTGTACTGCAGTGTATTCAGTGCCACGTTAAGTATTCTAATGCAAACTCTATTTTTTTTGCCGATTTTTTAAAAATTATTATACGATATAATCTATAGGTAGTGTTGATAACTCAAATTTCTAGAAAAAAAAAATAAAAATAACGAACAACTAAAATTATTCGTGCCATTGAGGTTTTCGATTGATCAAGACTATTGGTTATAATATATAATATTACATTGTTTTATCAATACAGTGGTGTATCAATGATACCATCGATTTTTATTAACCTAAAAATAAAAACTAAATATAATATGCTATTAGCAAAAACGCTTTTCAAAAATAATTTCCATCCACGAAAGTTGCGCTTTCCCACCCTCTTAACATGGCACTGATTATGGTGTATGACTGTTATAGTGTCACACCATAAGTACACGTAAATTGGAGCACTGACCTCGAAAGTTCCAGTTGATTATGATAACAGTGACCAATATGCTGACGGTGTTCATGATGAACGTGAATAGCAAGTATTTGGCGATGAGCGGCAGTACTAAAGAAGTGGGTGGCAGTATTTTGGAGACAAGCAGTAGGAAGACGACTAGTGACAGTAAAATGCTGATGCCCAGCGTGACCTTTTCGCCGGCTTCGGCTGGCAAGTAGAACACTAGCACGCATAGGAAAGATATGAGGACCGTGGGCAGTATCAAATTCACTGTGTAGAACAGAGTTTTCCTTCGAATCACTATGTAGAACGTTATGTCCGTCTGGGTAGGCGACTCCTGGTATACGTTCAGATAAGCAGGCACCTTCAAACAAAAAAACAATAAAGATAAAAAAAATTGATTTGMAAAAATTTGCTTTTACAAATGTATAACATGCATGGGCGTATCCTATACTATATAGTATATACAATTATTTATATGTATACACAGGGTCATTATCTTAACATGAAACACAATCATTGTTATTAAAAATATAAATGTTTTTGAAAACATTTTCCTTGCATAATTTAAGTCATTATAAACAAATATAAAAACAGTCATTATAAACAAATATATTATTTTTAAATAAATTTGTATTTTATCGTTAAAAAATTATATGCTATATACTTTTACAAATGATAATTTACATTTTTAATTCCATATTTCTTAGTAAAAAATTTTTATGTGAGCCTTGATATATAACAGTCAAATTTAAAAAAGTTGGTAGTTAATTTTATTAAAATTTGTGTATAACAAAAAAAATATTTCCCAAACTACCTATTTTTAAAAATAATAAATGTTTAGTGTTTGTTAAAAAAATAATT